GACGTGTAGCTCGGAGCACGTTTATTCAGTCAGTATATTGTGGATCAAGTGTACACGCAGTGAGCTACTCATGATCAGGATGGGGGATTAGGTTAAACAGAGGTTACTTTATGATCACTGTTTGTACAGTCGCTGCACACAGAGTTGTAAGGCCGCACTTGTTTGTACGGTCCCTGCACACAGAGTTGTACGGCCGCACCTCCCAATCCTGGCGAGCAGGCATTCAGGCATACGGTGCACACAGCGATAACGTGTCCCACATGTCTAAGCCAGCTAGATGACATGAGAGATGACCAATTGTTCGCGATAACGTGTCCCACACTATATACCGCAGTAGATCTCCTCTTTTGTTTGATCATTCCTCAGACAGCCCTTGTCTTAATGCGACATATTAAGCTTTAATAAGTGATATATCACGGGAACCAGAGTATTTGGGAGCTGGCTACTTCAACTTACGGCTGATAAATGCCCCTGCTAAATGTGTGATCTAATTAAGAACTTATTAATAGTGCCAATTATCGGCAAGCCAATGCAATCAAATAAAAGTTTGATGTAACCGACTTGAACTATAAGAAAGCATGTCGTACTTCTATAACCTACTTTATAAACTTTTCAAATACATGTCGGCCGCTTTTGGCAATAATTTGAACTAGCTGCAAATTGCAACGCGTGTCAGCTGTCGACTCGGTGAGAATTTATTTTTGTTTGATTTAGCGGCAGTGGGAATTAAATCAACTGGAACACTTTTGGACTGGCCGTGGAACCATTCGTAAAATTTTGAAAACAAAGAGACTATAAGATACAGGGCCTAGAGACAATTGAATTTTAGCGCGTAGGATAAGGACAATGCAATCAGCAAATTGCAATAAACCGGCCAAAAACAGTTTGTTGAATAAACAACTATGAAGATCCAGACGAGAGTAAGAGAGACGAAGGAGAAAGATGCGATGAGAAGGGCAGATAAATGACAAGGATGCACTTATGTGTGTGTGTTTCTGTGCAAGCCGATCGAAATACGAAGCCAACTTTTGTGGACACGGAGATTATGAGAACAAGTATGCATTTAAAATACAGAAAATTAATAAAGGGAAAATCGATAAAAAGTAGTCCAGACACGACTGGTACGATTTAATTCACCCATACATGTGCCTTAACCGAAATAAAAGTGCGTATAGAATGGTAAATTTTAATCATTAAATAAATACCCAAAATACGACAGGCGAATTTGACAAAAAAACTCCCTAAATGATGCAATTTTTCACTGTCAATCAAATTATGCTGCCACATCTCCAAGACAAGCATTTGCCCTTGGAGGAGTGCGGTGTGGACGCACACACGAACTCAAGCCAATGAGATTGAAGTGAATTCTGATTGGGTGCCAGTGGGCGATGCAGCAAAGGAGTTTCTTTTGCCCACGTTCTTATTATAGTCAACCGGCATTTTTAACACCCAATGAACGGCGAGCAACTAGATCACGTTCTCTCTGAAATTGAGTTTGGAATAACATATTCTCGTTAGTTATTGAAAACATGGGTCGTGGAGGAGGCCGTAGTAAAGCCAGTTCAACTGGAACTACCCATGAAGCTGGAACTCCCTACATTCCAATTGACTTAAATACAACATTGATTGAATTTATTCTCTCTGGCCACTTCGAAACGGATTACTTTTCATACTGCTCAACTCGATTAAGTGCCTATACTTGTCGATATTGGTTCGATCCAAATCATTCAGGTGATTCAAATTATTTCAATTTAATGCGCTTATTTATCCTACTATGTTTCCAATGAAACTTGTAAACAATATGATTGTTTATCACAAGGGGTATTACTTTATCCTTTGATTTACTTTAATAGTTCACTTTTTCATAAATAACTCCGCCCCGAAATTTAGACAATTTGGTTGCTGCATTTATTAAATGAATAAACAATAACGATGTGCCATTTAAACAGAGTACCTTCTAAAGCATTGCTTAGCATTTTTTATTTTCCCCTTAATGTCATTTGCTGCACGAAAATTGCTGACAACTTTTAACCACTCGAATATTAATTATTTCTAATTAATTAAAGTTATTATTATATCAGCTAACACTAAAGCAGGAAATTTCAATTTTCATCTAGGCCAATGTATGAGAAAAAGTAGGTAGATTATATCGACTTGTCAAACTGCCTCACTCTGTGACAGTAATTGAGTAAAAATTAATGGAATTTTAATGTATCAGTAGAGCAAACTTCACGAATTTGTTCACCGAGATTCTAACTGGCCAAAACCATTGTTTCATTAGTCATTTTGAAGTAAAAGTAGAATTTATTAACAATTGGATTCGATTATTGCGAGGTCTATAGTAATTTCGGCATTGAGAGGTTTGGCTTGCGCATGGAGACAAATTGTAATATTTTCTAAAAGACATTTTCTGCAGAGTAAATGAACGATTTTTTCTGGCAAAGTTTTAGATGAAGGCATTCTTTACGTTCGTCAATTTGGGTTCATTTTGTGATCAACTCTGCTAACTTAGATTAATTAATGATACAATGGATGCTATATCCAGGCTAAAAAAGGGGGCATGTGCCATGAATCTCCTCTTTATTGTTCCAATTCCTGATAAGATTAAAAAGAATGGATGTGTATAGAAATCAAAGTTAAATCAATTACTGTAACTCAAGGATCAGAGATTCGTGGAGCCCAACCCCCTTCCCTATCCCCAATAAAACCTGGGATAGTTACACATCGAACCACCCTATGGTGCTATATTAATAATGCCAATGTGACCTTGAGTCAAAAGACTAAGAGAAGGGTTTGGATACGTCCATTCAAACACGAAGGACCGTGTTCGGGTAGGAAGGGGGGGGGGGGCGGGGATCGTTTACACATATGTTCGACTTATTAACAAGGAAGAGCTTCCAGGACGTCATCTACTTCCTGCATGCTATATAGAGGGAGAATAAAGATGGTTCAAAACACTGGATAAGTGGGGCTTTGTGGAGATTCCGCTTCCATTATTAATAGATTTATTTTCTATATAAGGCAACACACGTGCCTGCCTCCGGAAAAAAGCAGGAATAAATGCTGGCGGCACTAATGCGAAAACAAGTCACTAATAATCTATTCGAGGATGGTTTCTATGTAGATAAAAATAGTTAAAGATGAGGACTGAAAAACCTCAAACTCAACAAAGACTTTACTCGGTCACTGGCCTCCTGATGGGGGAATTAGCAAGCTCACATGCTAAATGAGTACCAAATATGGTTTAGCTTACTGGTGATGTGACTACGTTCACAGAAGATGCAGCCTCTCCCCGGATAAACAACCCCCTATTCTCCGAGTTGTAAGACTTCTGTGCAGGGACTTTAAATCTTCTTGATTTTCTCAAGCTACAATTTTAACCTGACTGCATTTTCCTTTAAAAAAATTAGAGCAATTGGTAGAATACTCATGTACCTTTTTTGCGATTTAGCGTCTCAGGCAGATTTTGACACACATGCCTTTGAGGAGGGGGCATTGCGACCCATCGAAACTCACTCAGATATGCTCATGCATTTCGCCAACCCTGCCCACTTTCCAGTCTCGCTGGCGGGTGGTATTGTAAGAGATGGGTGGGACAAACATCCCAACGATTCCACTCTACTCATCAACGACCTTCTTCCCCTTACAATCAGCCGAGAAAAACAAATATGCTCAACTTTGCTTTGCATTGCCTTGTTCGTCAGTATCCTTGCCAATATGCTCTCTTGTCATTGTCTTCGACGAATTTCCGACGGTGGCCTTTACATTGCAAAAATTCTTCAATATCTCACGATTCTGGAGTGTATTGATTTATTCATTCAACTGGGTAACACTCTAATAGATTTCTATCGAGGAGTACCGCTGTTTACTGTGATTGATTTTATTGGAAAATGGTCGTGTCAGACTCTCGCTATGGGATATACTAGCCTTGCACATTCAGAAGGTCTTCTCGTTTCAGCGCTTGCAGGCTATTCTCTTCTATTCCTCAAGAACCTGCGATATCATTTAGCCCGATTTCGAGGCGACTGGACCTTCAACTTTTTAATGCTAGTTATTGCTCTTACTGCAACTGCAAGCAGTCAGTTCTTCTATACGTTCGACTTATTCCACGTGGACAATCGTTTACCGCCATCAAAAGCAAAAATTGGGAAAGGAGTATTTGTCGAGCCTTCTCTATACATGTGTGGATTTTCAGCTTCTTGGGGTTTGAGTCACGTTTACGTATCATACATATGGCCCATGATAGACCATCTTCAGGGAGATATTATTCCCTGTCTCATGTCACTTGCTGCCGGAACGATGATACTGATAAGTCGACAAAGCGTAGCAAGGAAAGAACGGAAAGAGCAGGATCTAGGCACTACAGATGAGATGAATGAATTTATTTGGATATTACCTCTTCTGTTCCTTCTACATGGATTTTCAATCCTTCCACGAACGATATTCTTTGTGGGAAAATATTTCGTGTTTTCAGGTAAGATATTTGACAATTGGAAATAATAATTAAGAAACGTGAGTATCACAACAAAATTGGTCAATGAATATGCTTTAAAAATAATCAATTTTGACTTCAAAGGTATAGGATTAAGAATATGAAGGTTGGATCAGTGCATCCATGTAACACGTTTTTGTTAAAGTTTTCCGCGAAAGGTTCAGTTCCTACCTATGAGTATTTCAACTACTCAGAGTGCCTTTTTAGACTAAATCGATTAAAACTGATTGAGGTTAGTCTGTACGTTCCTCCGAATTCTACTGTTAGCAATGTCTAGTATATCTATGCTTGTAATTTGCTTTTTTTATTAACATCAAGTGATTTTTTTGGTATTAAGACAAAGTTAACTTATATCATCGCTTAGGGCAATGTGTAAATGGGAAAAGTGGACCTATGTAAATAAAATGTGGAAGCAAATAAGAACGCACGAACTTGTCTAGCTTCATCTAAATTCCGGGAACTTGAGCCATCAACTCTGTCCTACGTGGTGGTAATTCGATTTGTAATATGCTAATGTTCTAAAAAGCAACCACTCCTTAATTTGATTCCTGAGTTTCTTGAAGAGCTCTTGCCTAAGATTATTGGAGCTTGTCGACCAAACCATTTATTTGAATGTCCAGCTAAACTGAGTCCATTAAAGTACGCAAAATATGCACCGATTTGAATGAAATAATTAGCCCAAAGCACCCTTTTGAAATTTATAACTTTCAAGACCCGTTTCTTATAATTAGAATGGAAGCGCAATGTTGAATTACGATGAATTTATGTTTAAGCGCGTGCAAACTAACAATAAATAGCCAATTTTATGAAGACTTTCGGAATAACGCACTAAGCCATTTTTCACAGATCTCAAGTAAAAATCCCACAAAATAATTAAGGAAAAATGTATCTACTTTCTTTCAAGTTCTTGATAGGGATAGGAAAATATAAAAAATATATATTACGAAAAGAAAAGTGAAAGAGAAACTCATTATTCATTCTGGTCATGCAAAGGGCAAATGCTAGTAGAGAGGGACAGAGAGAGAGGGAAGTTTTTGCAAGGAATCGATTTTAAGCTTTTCAGTTTGAGTGAAACTAGAATTTTTACTAGGCTTTGAATAACATTTATTGGAAGTAGAATGAATTCAGAGATCCTTTCGTCCAGTAGTTGAAGTTTCCCGGCACTTTTTCTTACCTCGGTAAATTGTGCGATCACCGAATATGCTTCGAGAATCTGAGAGCAAATCTAATGCAAGATTCAATCAAAAAATTTTAATCTAAGCGTGGTCTTCTCAATTTCTCAAAATACAATTAACAAAATAGATAATTTAACTTCAAACTAAAATGGGTAAATATCAGTCACCTTGTGCAAAATCAATTTAGACTGCGTGCTTATCAACCTCTCTTGAATCATCCCTTGGAAGGTGGACCACATCATTTATGTCTGCATTTTCTCCGTCTTCAGACGTATTTTTTTACCTTTTGGGTCTTAATTAGTTACTTGACAAGTGAGGGATTTTATTCTTGTCTTCAATTATATTCGATAAGTGGCCTAAATGAAAATTTGAACCCTAGGGTAGTCCGTACTAGAGAATTTGAATATGTCGGGAGTCCTGAAATTTGAACTTCGATATAATCGTTACCTTGAACCTCACCTCCGGTTTATTCTTTCCCGCACTATCTACTTTGGTATTTCACGCGCTCAGTCGCTAGAGCTTGATTTGAAACTTCAATCATTTTGCAAGGCTAAGGATGAGAAGAAAGGATTGAAGGCAAGCGTACCTTAAACCTTTAACGCCCGAATTGTTATTTTTTTTGAAAAATGTACGCAACACCACTCATGCGTGTTTCACAGCAGACTGATGCCGCTGATGTGATGACGAGTTTTTTGTGGTAACAGGCGAAGGCTATAGACACGTATTGAACATGTTTCAAAAGGCAGTAACGCCTTCTGTTATGAGTCTAGCACCAATGGAGCTCATTTGGAAAGAGGACCGTACAGTCCAAATAGCGTTAAAGGATTAAACAGAAAAAGTAGTCCTAGACTAATTAGGGAAAATTTTGTTCACGATATAAGTCCATTCATATTTTACTTTAAATGAACTCGACCATGACAAAATAAAGTTGGTTTTTATCATCTCGTTAATAAGTAGACTTTAAGTAGAACATCCAATGAAATGATTGATCGAAAATATAAATCAAACTCTAAATGGCGAAAAATTCAGTGGATAAGCAGACTATAAATTCTAGATTTTGAATTGTAGAATCGCTTCCTCAATTCGAAAATGCCATTTATGATACCAACTCCGCATATTTGCCAATTTTTCAAGATTCCTACTATACACCAGCTTCTAACTTCGAATCTGTCTCCCTTTTCTGTCCATATCAAACTACTTTGCAGTCAATTAAGCTCGGGAACCAACTCATGACCTATTTTTGTGGGCTGTGTATGACTATTGAATAAAATCGACAAAAGGGGCAAACTCAATGCTAAAATTTTCAAGTGAAGTCAAGGAAGCTTATCATAGATATTTATTTATTTCAAATGGCAGGCGTTTTGATAGCTATCATCAGCCATTTAGCTGACTTCAGGCTTCACAGAGGGAAGGTTCATCAAAGTAGCGGAAAGTCGATGGGTGGGGTACAGAAGAGCGATTCACAGATGTAAAAGAGGCAGACAGACACAAAGGTAGAACAAAGGCCAGGTGAGTACTGTGAAAGTGGTCGAATATGACATACAGTGGGTTGATGGCAGTTTGAAGTGAGAAGTCAACTGCTAGTTAATAGACTTTTTTGCCGTATGAGTATACGTTGCTCAGGATGCACCACGTGAAGGTAAGTCTATCGTACAACCCATATTTAGTATCATTGAGCCGATCATATTCGCTTGAGGAACGAGATTTCGGATGTTCACATTTAATTGCTTGCCTCTCATTTTCATCCATGAGACTATAGCAATGACATTCAGGGTTTAGTTCAATTGCACTTTTGATCAGCCAACCTTACCACTAATGCAAGTGAATGATAAAGGAACCATTTTATGCACAATAGACCATATTGAAGTTCATTCAATGTGAATCCCAATCTAATTTATATATCAACTTTTATTCAACGAATATTGCCTTTTGTTTTATTCTTTATAATTTGAATCAATTAAAATGCTGTCAAATATCTCAAGTTCTATCGACTTGTAAAATTTTTCCGAGCGTTGATAACATATTTGAATTTCAGTCAATTAATCCTTCTAGCAAAGTATACGATATTTTACTGTTCAGTTGTTTACAAAAAGAACAATTTTTAATAAATTTAGCAATTATCTTTAAGACTTCTATATTTGAAACTTAAAGTGGGAGTATTTATATTAAATTTCATCAATTGCATTCGGTAAATAAATTTAAATACAAAGTTAAATTCCATAACAACCAGACTTTTTATGCTAGAAAACTTATTTTTCCTCAATTTAAACATAGCATTTGCCATAGTTGTCAAAACTTATATGCATATATATTTTTAATAAAAAGGCTTCAATTTATTTACTTTTAGAAAAAAAATAACTAAGTGGAAGGCGAATATTTTCTCCTAAAGAACCTCAATAGAAAAGTGAATTAATGAAAAACAAAGTAATAAAGTTGATCTACAGAACACGCATTACCAATAATTCAATAAAAGAATAATGTAGCATTGCCTATATGTTGTTATGCGAAGCTTAATTAAAATTTATGCAGTACTTCAGTAGATTATCGAAAAGAAAAAAGTGTATCAATTGTAATCATGATCAATGGAAGAGATGAATGAGAAATTAATTAGAAACAATTTGAGAAGAATTACGCAATAAAATCAAGGCATCAAGCAAATCTACTTTGTTCGAATTCTTGAGGCGGTTTGATTTCATGGTCCTCACACAAGGCGTGTATCTTGCTGCGCAATGTTGTGATATACGCGACTTTCGTCAACTACCCAAATGACGTATGAGGGAGAGATTAAGTCCAAAAAAGGAAACACAAAAAACTTTGTTGCGTCGAATTGTTTTCTTGAATGGTTTCTACACCTCAATATATATTTAAAACTTCCTATAGACACGAACAAATTTCCAAAACAGTAGAGAAGTAATCGAATCTATGGTAATTGGTGGCTTTTTTATTTGTGTGCGATTTGCTTTTGTGCTTGGCGAGAAATCTAACAAAATGATTCAATGGACAGAAATGTCAAAATTAATGTTTCCGATCTGGGGTGTGCGATAGACTTACCTCCACGTGATGCGCCCTGGGCAACGTATACACCTGCGGCAAAAAAGTCTATAAACCGGCAGTTGACTTCTGACTTCAAACTACCATGACCCCACTGTATGTCATATTCGATCACTTCCGCAGTACTCAGACTACCTTTTCCTTGTCTTTGTGTCTGTCTCCTTTATATCTTTGAAACACTCTTCTGTTCCCCCCCCCTTCCTCTCGACCTTTTCACTTTGATGTTCCTTCCTCTCTGTGAAGCCTGAAGTCAACTAAAGGGCTAATGATAAACATCAAAACGCCTGCCAATTGATATAAATAATGTTTCCGATCTTGAATTTGACCAGTTCTACAC